TATGCCATCTGTTCCTCTCGCTTTGTTTCTCTTCAGTTTGCTGATCGCTCTAGCAACTTCTTTCTCACTTGGTTCTCCAGCACTAACATTTTCAAATAGCTTCGCTCGTTCATGTGTGGTTGCGACTCGGGGTGGAGGGGGTCTTTTTAGAAGGTTCTCAAAGTGTGTTGCCCTTTTTTTAAGACGCTCCTGGACATCAAGAATAATTTCCTTCTTTCATCTTTAAGGGTTTCATTCTGTGTTTGTTTCTTCCCTGTGAGTGGCTTAATGGTGGAATAGACCTTCCGTGTATTTCTTGTCTTGTCGGCATGTGATATTTTGTCAGCCATGTTATTGTAATAATTGTTTTTGTCTGTTCGTACGCATTTTTTAATTTCTTTCCTCAATTTGCTTTTTGTGGCTTTGTTTCTGGTATGGGCTCTTTTTGAAATCAAATCTTTTTGAAATCATGGGTTTTCTTTATGCTTCGAGAACCCTACGGTCTTTTCAGCAGCATTGCGGATACTATCCCTGAGTCCTTCCCATGCTTTGTCTACAGTGTCCAGGGTTGGAGAGTCCGAGTCAAGAAACTGCATGTATTGGTCCCTGGACTTCGCGTCTTTTAGTTCTGCGACGTTGAATCTGACCCTGCTCTCCTTTTTTGTGTACCTCTTGAGTTTGATTCGCAATTTTACTATCACTGGACTATGATCAGAGTCCAGCAAATGGTTTCTGCGGACCGTGGCATCTTACACTGACGACCTCATTTTACGTGGTACCATTATGAAGTCGATTTGATTCTTTGTGCGATGATCGTTTGAGTACCAAGTGAGTAGGCAATTTCTCCTCTTGTGGAAGGTCGTGTTACATAGTACAAGGTCGTTCATTACTGTAAAGTCGGCCAGCTGCTCTCAATTTTCGCTCCGGCTTCCTATAGTAAATTGACCGATGTGACCACGTTCCTCCATTAAGGGCTCTCCTACTTTTGCGTTCATGTCACCACCGATGAGGATATAGTCCTTCCTTGGAACAGTTGCAAGGAGCTGAGTTAGGTTGTTGTAGAAGCTGTTCTTGACTTCCATAGGGCTGTCCTCAGTGGGTGCGTATGCGCTAATGGTTGTCAACGGTACTGGGCGGGCTGACAGGCGCAGATAGCATAATCGCTTATTCAGTGCCTTCCACTCTAAGACATGGTTTGCCAGATTATGCTTCATAGATATGGTGACACCATGTTGCCCTTTTGCCTCATTGCCGGAGCAGTAAGTTTGTATTTCGTTTTGCCTTGGGTGTTCTGGATCACTCTAACAGAGTCTTGGAAGCGAGTTTCCTGGATACATGCTATATCAGTCCCAAATGTATCCAGGTCCCCGGCAAGCAGGCACTCCGCGTAACTTCATTGTGGTTTCTTGGCTCGATTTTACAGGAGTCGCCACTTCCAAACCCTCCTCCTTTATCCGAGCTTGGGACCGGCACTGATGGCAACGTCCAGCGGGAGAAGCAACCACAGCACTACAGCGGATACCCGTCTGATTTGCCGCGGCAACCCACCAACCGTTACCACCAGAACCATACCACCAGAGGTACGGTTAAGTGCGTATTCCAACAAAAAATGATAAGGTTTAGGTTTCGAGTAGGCCGTGAGTATAGAAGTTGTTTAAGGTTTTGCAAATGATTTTCCAAAAAATAGAGATTAAAATACAATGTAACCAATTAAAACAGATTTCAAATGGATTGTGTTTTTTTACAAAAATAAATGGTTATTATGAAAATATAATCAATTGCATTGTCTAAACTTGCAACAAGGATGGATTCGAATGACAAGATGTTTGGCAACATTTTTGTAGGTGATCATCAATTTTTATCCATGAAACTTCGGTGCGGGGTTGTCCAATAAACTTTTTAACAACAAAAATCAAGATTTTAACTTGATTTTTCAGATACGATGCAATACATCAAATCGTTTTTTTTTTTTTTATTTTTTATGTTACCTGGCCGAATATTTTGCTGTATTTTCGGCAGAGAAAAATGACTTCATTTGTGTTTTTGAATCTGTTTCTTTTTAAAGCAGCGATATGAAAATCTATTTTGTGGTGACAAGTCAAAAACTCAGTAATTGTAAATACTCAGTCAAAAGCTCTCAAGCCGATGAAAAGTCTACGTCTCTCACGCCAAAGTAAAAACATAACAATATATATGATTTAGCGACCATAGCTCGCACGAGAAATTTTACTTTTGTGCTCTACTATAAAACAAAAACATGTAAGTATTAAATTTTTAGACCCGTTCATGAACTCTGAGTGATTTTTTTCTATGCTCAACCAAATAGCATACTTATGTCTTATGTCGTTTTTTCAACCACTAGACAGTACAGTTAGACATAATTGAAAAAATGTATATACGTTTTTATACTTATATAAAACCTTTTTACACTGTTGTGTTCAGAATTCTTTGTTAATTTAAAGACGTTCAAAATCGCCATTTGTTGAGACTATTATAACTATTTGAGCATGTATCGTTACAGGGACCCAAGTTACATGAACTCTTACGCCACCGGGTTTGACCCTTACTACTCGGCCATACATGCATACTCGCAGGAAGTGGCCCGCAGTGCCAAGGAGGAGATCGAAAAGCAAGCGGAAGACCTCAGAAATTTTAGAAAGGTTATGCTGGGTGAGTTTCTAGTTAACATTAAACTACAGATTCTTTATCCTTGAAGTAAAAGAACAACACTCCTGGACGAGTTCGAGCGTCTAACTTGGAAGTTCGTGCAAATTTTCTAGAATGAGTTATTATTTTTTGCATAAATTAGTTATAATCTTTAAAGATTTTTGTAAGATAAATAGATTTTTAAAGCCATCTTAAAAGATAGATAATTTTTTAAGTTTTTCAAAGTACGGATTTATTGTCGAAATCTAACAAAATGGGCAATTTTCTGACGCACTGTTATCAGATTCAATTTTTTCCTGAATCATATAAGACAGTTTTTATTGTCAGAATCTTACAAGAACTGTGTTACCTGTTTTACAAGAATCGTTGAAATAACAAAGTTCTGTCGTGAAAAGCTACTTTTATTAGTTAGAACTCTCTTGCTATCTCTAAGTAACCGTCTCACCACTATGCGTACTGCTGCTCAAACAATATGGTATTAAAATGTCTTTAAAAGTTTTGTTAAAAAAAGCGTTCAAAAAAAGTTTTCTTAAAAATCAATAATCAAGGTTCAGCTCATACAAGCTTATAAGACTCTTGTACAACCCATTAAAATAGAATTTCATTTTACTATTTTAATTGATAAAATTTTAATTGAGAAAAAGATAAGCAATCGCGTTCAAGTAGTAGCAGCTGGTCAGCTTGATACGACAAACAGTGTACCCGATCATTTTTTGAGACGCGACGAATCATTTTTGTTGGCCGATATCTCTTTGAAGCAAATTTAGCAACACTGTAAAAAAAAAGAATTGATAAAAGAAGAGTCGTCTTGAAAATTTCTCTGAAAGCCTGTTTTCCGCTCTTCCGTGCCTTATTGTAATAAAGCTATTATGCTTTAGATTTGATGCCAAAATCTACAAAACTGAGAAAAATAGAAAAAGAAAATTATTATACTATGTAAATTCTGTGCTAACTCTCGCATACACTGCTGAATCAAATTTTCCCGACAAAACAATCAACATTTGACCCTTCTTACGCTTTTTTCTCCAAAACTGGATTAGGAATTGATGAAAAGTCAAAAATTGCCTAGAAATTTACAGAATTTTTATGGTGTTATTTATTAAAACCAAAATTTTAACCCAAATCCGGACAAACTACTTACTTTAATAATGAGAACCTATATCAATGAAGTCTTTTACACAGCCAAAAAAAGGCTCTAAAAATTGAATAAAAAGTAAAAAATTTGCTTTTCAACAAAGATTTTGGGTTTTATCGAGTAAAAATAACATTGTATTTAGCTATCGAGCAAAAACGTTTCTTTCACAAAATTTTGGAGTTTTTACCTTTCCAAAACTTTGTTGAGCTGTGTTAGAGGCTTCTTTTGATATAATTTTTTTTCAGCGTAATTCTTGATTAACTAGAAATTTTTGATTAAGTAAATTTAGCGTAATTCTTGCTTATTTAAAAAAGCCAAAATTGCCCATTTTAAGGGTTGATTTTGTTTACCGCACTGATAATAATGGGTTTGGCGCGAGTTAATTTGATTTTAAATCAAATTTAAGTGATCAACATTGATTGACAATGTACATTTTAGGAACTGAACTGGATTTCCAATCGAATTAAATCGATCTTTCACGATTTTTTGGTTCGATTTAAATGAATCGATTTATATCGACATCGATTTGGATGGATTTTTATGATTGCTAAAATCCATCCAAATCTTGTCAAAATCTATCTAAGACCATTTCGAAAGACCTCTGAGCAGATCAATTTTGATGTTTGAAAAAGCTATTTTAAATCGATTTAAGCAAAAATCTATATATCAAATCAAGAAAATGGTCAGTATAAATCAGGTTTTGAGCTAAGAAAAATGTAATCAACTTCTAGAAAATTATCACTGTCAGCCAAACTTTGGGCAAAATTCTACTAAAAAATCAAGAAAATGGGCGAATAAATCAGATGACAACGTAAATCATTCCAAACTGGAATGAAGTTTAAAATTTTATTTTTTCGGTCTTTTGATTATGCTACCAGACGCTATGGCTGAGAAATTGTCATACTGAGAAAATTGAGAAAAAAGAGAAAATAGAAATTGTCATTCTATTTTAATTTAAAAGTTACAAACATCATTTTGTCTATTATGATATAATTTGGCTGACTTTTTCAAAATATTCTAATATTCAATTCCAATTATTCGCCAAATTTTTCTATTAAACAAGAAAGGCTGTGAACACTAATTTGAAAAGCATAAGTGTGGTCAACCGTTCACTTAAAATTTAGTAGTGTAATCCAAAAAAAAAGAGACAGAACAGCGTTTCCAATGAATTTTTTTTGTATGTTTAACATCATTACTTTATTTTTAACTGACTGTGCAAACAGAATCATTTAAATAATTTAATATCTGATATACGAACCGTTTGACACACAATCACTGGAAAATTGGAGTTTTTTTCAGCCCAAGAGTTGGACAATGAGAAGTTGAAATCAGTGTCTTCTAAGCTGCACTCCGAAATACTGAGACTGTCCGAAGACAAAGCTAAACTGAAGAACTACATGGAGAGTCTGGAGAAGAAAAACAAGGAACTGCAGGACACTCTGGATGTCACCAGTGAGGAGTTGTTGGTAAGTCACGTGACTCAAACTTAACATATTTAACAGGATGGTTGAATTTTCGGGTGGAAGTTGCAGTTTGGCGGCTTCAGGGATGGTTGAGGCGTTATGGATATATTTTGAACTGTCGAGTTGTTTTACTTGACAATTTTTCCATATACCGAATTTTGCAATATATTTGATTTGTTCTAAAATTGGGCTGAATATGCATGTTTGTATGAGTACGCACATTTAACCTGTAAAGCTCACAACCTCCAAATTAATTTGCTCCAGACCAAAGAAGCAAAGAACACTGAGGAGATCAAGAGGATGAATCAGGAACTACTGCGACTGAATGACGAGAAGAACCAGCTGCAGGAGAAGTTCCTCAAGTTAGAGTTGGAATATGTCCAACAGCAGAAAGGTAAACAAAGTTTGGTTCTATCGGACGACCTGCAACGTTACGCAAAGTATAAGGAATGCGGCGATTAAAATATGAGCTTGAAACTCTCCCGAACTGATAACCTAATACATAAAAACTAATACTAAGCGTGGAATCGGAATGCAGGCGTAGGCGGTTACTTTTGCCTTCCGGCAATAAAGATTGAACCTTTGCTAAACTGAAGTTTTAAAAATTGACGTTTGCTGGGGTATTTTTGTCGAGTTGGAATTGTTTGAATTATTTGAGATTTTTTTTGGAACTGTTTGATCTCCTGTTAATATCATTCAACTGAAGCAAATTATAGGAGACGCCAGCAATTGAAAGCTTACAGCACCTCCCAAGACTCCGCGAAGACACCAATCCACATTTTTAGATATTTTTAGATTTTTTGATTTCTTAGACTTCTCTTACTTCAATTACAACTTTCAGAAGTTCATACGCTTTTTTAATATCGTGAATCTATGTGATTTATCTAAATGACAACCTTAAGTTCGGTACAAGCGAGTTGAGTAAAATTGATCGGCGTACCAAATCAAAACTCAATTCATTAAAATGAAGTTACTGAGTAACTGAGTTACTGCGCTTGTACCATCAAACAGCTCCGGCAACAAGAAACATGAACACTCGGTTTTGGTAATTTTGGAAACTAACAAAAAATATTACCATGAAAACAGTAAAAAAAAACATACAAGACTCATTTTTTGAGTTTAGCTCATCATCGAACCAGGAATCTAAGCATTGGCGTCCGGATGGTTCAAGCATTTCCGAGTTATTTTTTTCATCAAAAAGTATAACACATTTTATGTATTTTTCTCGCCAGGATGAAATTTTCACATTCAAAATATCCTTTAAATGTATATAGCAGTGCCAAACAAGGTATTTAATTATGAAATTACTGAAATAAAAATCTACACCAGTAAATAAAAATTTAGTGACCTGCCTGTATGACCTGCTTTGTGTACAAAGCGTAAAATGATTCAAGCGGAAATCGAACCCTGACCTCTGGGTAAGATCATAAATGTGTTAGCCATGATGCTAACGAGTGTGCAAAGCTGCATGTAGGAGAACTCAGAATTCTTAAAATTTAGCATTATCATGAGGCCCATACACATGAAAAATTTGCTGTTCAACTGCTAGCTTGAACTGGCAGATAATTCTCGGTTATGAAGTCTGATTCGGTTCGAATCCCGGTGGATACCGACAATTTTGCTCAGCTGAGTTAAATCAGGTGGATCTGCCATCCATTGTCATTGTGCTATATCACTAAATATACATTTTTAAACAACTAATTGACGTTTTTGGCGTTTTTTTTGAACTTTTAAAGTTGCTTTAATGGCATAACTTCTGTTAAACACGAGAACAACCCTAAACTTATATATGATAGTTGAATGTTTAGACTGAAGAGGCAAGCTAGCTTCAAATACTCACAGTTCCTGAAGAAATCGGCTTAACTGAACTAAAAAGACAAGATCAAACTTTTTCCAACAGTTAATTTAAATTTTTTATAACATCAAAAAAATCAACTTCAATGATTAAGTTGGACTTTCTAAGCATGCAACAACCAGGCTATGCGTACTCAAATTACAAAGCTTGAATATTTCTTTATTTTGTGTCGATAGTATTTATTAGCATTTTGCTCCAGTTTCTCGTTGGTGTTGAAGTTTTTTTTTAGTTCTGCGTACTGAGGTTATCAACGGCCATCAGGCTCACTAATGATTTCAGCATTTTGAGCTTATCTTTAAAAAGTGGGTTGCGCTTGGGGAGAGATGGGTGTATTGCCGAGACAAAATTTCTCAAGCTGCCATTCTATGCCTCCAATGCATTTTTGTACGAGATTCTCCGCTAGCACCTCATTGAAATTTTCGCAATCAGCATTGTCAAGCTTTTGTTTTGACTCGTCTATTTTTTGACAGGCACCAGTATAAGTGTGTTTAAAGTAAATCGAGAGCAAAAAATTGTTTTTCTATCACAAGGTGAAGGGTATAAAAACAATGCGCCACAATGACAGATGTCAGAGGGTCCCTCACAATGACAGATCAAATCGAACTCAGGTATTTTTGCCAGACCAAACTATCACAGTCTAATTTACCAGAATCCTTGTGTATGAACATATCTCCGCTGATTTTGATTTTGAGAGCTTCTGGAGTTTTGTCGAGGCGTTTTTAGATTTTTTGGTTTGGGCAATGTTGTTGACGCTTGCGACCTTATTCTGATGACAAACCGGTAAAAATTTTGATAAAATGTAGTGTATTTCGGTATCCTTGGTGCTTCATGAAAAGCTGGTCAGCTTGTGCACAGTTATTATGTCGGGGAACGTTAATGGTGTCTGTTTGTTCTTGAACTTTGTAGAAAAAAATTGTTACTTGAATTTTGATGAGGGTAATTTTGGTTTCTAGAGTTGAATCTTGATGTTTGTCTAGATGATTTACTGCTCTGCAATTCTTGAATGTACTTTGCTGTTTTATAGGACCGTTCCTAATCTATTGTTATGAAAATCTTCAACCATCAAGACATAGATTCTTTTCTCCGCAATCAGATAATACGAAACCCATTTTATACTTAAAAAAAAACATTTCAGTTGAAAATCAACCATTCGGTAAACCTATTAGGTACAAAAATTAATCAACGTTGATTGTATTAGTGGGCCAACAAGCTGCACAAACTAGGTATTATTCTGAGAGCTGGTGTTTTATGGTCAATGATTTTATCATAATTAGTTGATCTTTCAGATAAACTGAAGTTTCAATTCAGTATTTCAACTAATTTCCCAAATTACCTGATAGTGTAGCCAATACGTGAAAGGAGCGATCAGCCGTTTAATTGATATCCCTTTTAACAAGCTTTCAGTATCCCATTTTTTGGTCTGCTTTCATGCAGTATGATCAACTTTCAATTATTGGGTCAGTTTTTGTCGAGTTTGATTTGTTTCAGCCACCATTCTAAATTTGGAACAAAAATGTATAAATTTCTCTAATGTCCAGGTCCTTTTTTATTCTAATGAAAAAGATTTGTTCCAGGTACATTTGGAACGAATGAACTATCTGCCCTCTTATTAAAGCTACGATGTTTTGCTGCATGTGAAAACATTTTAGCGCGCAAGTTTGAAACGTTCAAGTTGTCTAACAAGTATTTGAACAAATTGTCGCAATCATTTATCTGAACTTTATGCCTTGGAAAATGACTCACTAGTCTGTGACCGAATTGTCTGATCGCGGTAATTGGAATGCGGTGGGTTGCTTTCGCCTACTGACAGTATTTTTTGGACCTAGACTAAATTAAAGACCCCTCTCAAAATCTGTCCTACGCTATATTGAAAACCCCTCTTACAATTTGCCCGTTACGGGGTTAATTTTGTCAATTTTGAAACATTTTTATGGAATGAGTTGTAAAACTGAATCTCAAATTTGCTGGCGTTCAACTGAAGCAAGTTAGAATTGATGATTCCCCAGCAATTGACTCACCGCCAAAGTCGTCACGCAACGCCAAGTTTAGATTAGGTTGTTTTTTTTCTCACTTTAATTACAAGCTACCGAAAATCCTTATTTTTGGAACATGTGTAAACTGTATAAATGTCAACTTTCAAACAAAAAAGCTGCTATTTTTATTTCAATTACTGCTACAAACGGCTCTCATTAGCTTTTTTCTCAATTGGTCTTTTTTGGTCTTTTATGGTCTTTTATGGTCTTTTTTGATTCATCCATTTTTGATTCATTTTACAGTATTTCGAATAATTATATGTATGTATAAATTCATTTAAATTAAGATCCGATAGCGGATTTAGGATGGGGAGAGGACGGAGAAATTTTAGAATTTTGAGTCAAAAAATTTCTATAGAGAAATTTTAGAGTTTTGAGTCAAAACCTTAAACAGAAAACATAAAAACCCAGTTTTTGATCTTGTTATTCAAAAACTTGAATGCGGATATTTGTCTGATTTTACTTCCCAAAAAAACGAAGCTTCTACCCAAAGTACGCAAAATAGGAGTTTTTTACCCTCTTTGATGCTATTTTACTCTACGGTTCCATTTTTGGTCGAATAACACTAAACCTATGTTAAGGTGTCTTTGAAAACAAAAAGTTTGGGGGCTAGGGGTCCAAAAAACCATTAAAAATGTAACAAAACCTTTCAAATGTTTTCCTAACGTTTTAGAGAGCTCAGCGAATCAATTTTATTATCTCATAAGAAGCTCAGCAATTTTTTTTTGAAAATCCTCCGATCCTCAAGAAAATACTAGATCGCACTTTTTATGACCGCTGTTTAGATACTGAAATGCTGGCGGGTGAAAAACTGAAAGCCGAACAGGCAATTAAGCGACTCGAGGCCAGCAACGAACTACAACTGAGTGAAAACGAGAATCTGCGCACGCGACTCAAGCGGGAGAGAGACGCCAGAATTCTGCTGGAGGAGTGGGAGAAGAAGCGACTGCAGCGACTGGCTTTTTTGGACCCCCTAGCCAGGGTGGTCCCAGCCTCCTACTATCCAACTTATGCAGGTAATCCCATATATATTTTAGTTACCTGCTTACAATTCAATTACTAATGACATGAATCCCACTCACTAGTGCTGGAAAATGTTGACGAGAACTTCTGCCAATATTTTTGAAACAATTTGGATTTTTAGTTCACGGGTTTCGGAGGTAAAATTTCAATTGTAAAATAACCAAAAGTTGTAGCAATGCATTATATATGATGGATGTAAGAAAAATCAAAAAATTCAAAACCGCCTATCCTGAATACCAAACATGAGAAATAAGATTTTCCAAACATGAGAAATAAGAAATTTCTAAAAGCAACTTGGAAGTTTAAAATCTTGGAAAATTTAAACTCATAAAAAATCAGCCAAAAAAAACAAAACAATTCCATTGATTGCAGGTATGCCAACTTTGCCCAGACCCGGGATCCCCGCGCCCTTGATGGAATCAGTGCCAACTTCAGACGTGTTGACTAAATTGAAGCTCCTTGAAAGCGAATTGCAAGCGGAGGCAGAGGCCGCCAGAAATAGATCGGGAAAAATAGCCCAGGGGTGGGGCAATAAAAGTTCAGCAGGAGGAGGAGGAGGGGCCAGGCCTTCAGCCGCTGGCAGCAGCACAAAAGGATTGTGATAAAAGACTACTATGATGATTTGTTTTTTCTTAGTTTTAAAATTTTGAAATTAACCTAATAATGAAGGCTATTCGTAGCGATAGCTTTACTTTCATCAGTGTTTGTGTCGTTTATCTCAAACTGAAAAACAAGTTTGAAGCTGCGGGCTCCCGGCTCTTGTTCTGATATCAAAGAACATGAGCAGTTAGCGTATCCGGACACATTTCAATGATGGAAACAACAAGTGATGCTTGAATTTTGTAAGCCCTATTTGAGAGCTTTTATGGCAGAACCAGTTACAATAATGGCAGTTGCGGATCTAGGATTTTCTCGAGGGAGGGGGGCGGATTTTCAAAAAAATTCGAAAATTTTGTCGACCTTTTTATAGGTCGTCCAAATTGATTTTCCGAGCTCTCCCATAGCACAACAAAGACTCTGTTTTGGGCAAAATTTTTGCGCCGCAGTCATAATTTTGAAAAAACAGGCCGAAAAAAGTCGGTTTTAGACACTTTTCGGAAAATTTCGCGTGTTTTCGGCGCGCGCTCCCCCCTCAAAATTAGTATATATTGGCGCCGAAGGCACCTTAGGTAAACTTAGAAAACTTATAGGGTCAGTCATCAAAAGTGGCTATAAAAATAGTACAAAGGGGAACCCTTTGGGTCGGCAGGGGGTCGAGTCCCTAATGAAAAATAGTGTCCGTCCCGCCCACCCCCCCCCCCTAAATCCGCCCCTGAATACTGGTAGAGCATTTTCTTTGAGAGATTGGAATTGTGCTTTCAGCTGATTTATAGTAGCTTTATGCCTTCAACAGCCCGACCAAGCTTGGCTTCCATAATTTTACCGATTGACAATTTTAAAAACGCCAAAAAAACAGCCGTGAGATGCAAAAAAAAACTTCGACTTTGAAACAAATTAGTCTAGAATGCAATGAAAAGATATACATTGACTATAATCGTAAAAATGCTTAGCAGCGCATGATAGTTTCTCTGCGATTTTATATGGGTTTACAAAAAGTGTTGCAGGGCAGTGCCTGAGTCGAGGTGCGCAATTCGCGTTCAAACCTGAAAATTCACCCCAAATCTGAGAAACCCAAAATTAATAGGCGCGCCGAAGTCTGGAAAGTCGCGAAGAACCCGATAGCTGAAGCACAAAATTTAAACATTAAGACGTGTCATAATGCTAAATCAGTCATTGGAGTCTTATTCAGTTCATGTTTCTATTCTTCTGTCAATCATTTCTGTTTCCAATGGCGCTAGACATCATTGACAGGTACTGGCTTTCGTTCGGCGTGTCTGACACCGTCAGTTGACCGCTAAAACATTATCTCTATGATCTGGGATACTGTTTAGTTGTTTAATTAAGGATATAATTCAAAAATTGAATTCGCATTTTCAACATGGCGCAGATAGCTGGATAAAATGGGGGTAAAACCCACTTGGGATTACATCTTTTTTACCGCCTAAATGCGCAGAACCGCCAAGGTTATGGGATTTGTGGTGAACCGTTTCCAATGGGGGACGTTGACGGGAAAAATCGGCTGTAATCAGTGCAGATTCTGATTTCAAATCTATACTTGTGCCTTGGGGAAAAATGACGAATTACGCAAAAAGAAACCACATCAAGATCTGGGGGCTACACATTATCCGAGGGTGCTAGAAGCAATTGAGGGAGAGTTCAAAAAGGAACGGAATTAAACGTATGAAATTTTCCAGCTGCTATCAATGGATCGGGGAGGCGTTGCAGCAGTTCCACGCAGTGCTCAGTGGACTGGCGGCGCGTTGCTCCTTTGGCGCACTAAAAACAAGAGTGCTACGAGATGTGTACATTGTCAACATGACAAACCGATAGGCTCGAAACGATTTATGCATGGCGACGAAAACCCCGGAGGAAGTGTATAGAGTAGCACTTTCTTACGAGCGGGGAGATATTTATGCAAAAATATACCTTTCAACAACCGTGGGAGCATCGACGAGCGGAACCACGGGAAGCGGTCTGCAAATCAAGACGGAACCGGTGGAAATATTCAGGGGCGCATATCGTAATAACCGGGGGAGAGGACGCGGCCAAAAGGGCGAGAACAATGGCGAGGGAGAATGAATATGGGAGATCGAAAATGTTTCAACTGTGATAAGCCAGGATTTACAAGGCAGCACATGATTGAATGTCCAGCTTAAAATTTCACGTGTAATTTTTGCAAGAGCGTCTGCCATTTCGATCGAACGTGTAGGGCAAAGAAAAAAAAACAGAGGTCGGGATGAATCAAGGCCAGGACGGTCAGGAGTTATTCGAGTCTGAAGGAATGGAGGATGACGCATCTCAACATGAGATCTCAGTGGGATGGGAGAATACACCCCAATATTGTATCCGGTCGTGGGACTCCGAAAGCTCGAAGGACTACATGGTGATGGCGATACGATCGAAGAAAAACGCTGAGTTAAAAGGGGCGCAAAATTACCTATAAAAAATCAATGGACGTTAAACGATTGTATGGATTGATAGTGGTTCACTGATCTCATTTTTTACTGTTGGGGAACTTCGAAAAACACTGGGCGCCGCAGGCATTAACTTACAAGAAGTAGGGTCAAAAGATCATGAATTCCGCGACTACGGTAATAATCCTAATCACTTACCGGAAACCATGAAGATGGAGCTCGTGTCCAATGTCTGTGCGATGTCGGCATCGATCAAAGTCATTGGCGGAAACCGAACATCAATCATAGGAAGTGATCTGATGTCCGAACTGGGGCTGCAACTATTACAGAAGGCGCCAGACAAACAAGTGATGTCGATCCAGGATGAGAACGCTGCAGACGACAAATTTCATACAGCTTCCACAATTTCCACATTCGATGGCTTGGGAAAAGGTTTATAATGCCATTATCACATAAACGTTTTCTCTACATGATTCTATCAACCGAATTTTTTCTCAGTATAGTCTTCGTGAATAAACAATAGGATACTGAAAAAAGATAGCAACTGACAGTGTCAAGCTCTCATAAAAGATCAGATTGAATCAGTAGAAAGTTATAAAAGTAAATTGATGATCAATATACAGAAAACTGCCAATTTCAACATTAAGCGATAAGTGACCAACTAGTTATCGTTTGCTTGGCGCTTACGTTTAAATTTTTTAGAATAGCGAAAAAATTGAAATGTTACAACCGTAATAACCTTCAAGATGTATCTTCTTTGCCAACGTAGCTCACATTACTACAAAAAGCTAATTATATCTACTGAAAGTGCACCATAGTAAGGAATTAGTGCACTGACGATATTCTGTGCCCATGAATGACATTTGAGAACCTTCTATCTGTTTTTTTTTCTGATTCATTTATGACAAAAACTCTAGTTTTCAGTTCAGCGCTGCTTCATTGAAAAATATTGCTAATTTATTGCAGAAGAAAAATGTTTTTAGTTTTATCTACCCATTGATGGCCCGCGTATCAAAAATTCGGCCAAAGAAAATTCAGCCGATTTGAAATTCAGACAATTCAGCCAAAAGTATGCAGACAATTCAGCCAGAGACAATTCAGCCAATAATAGTGACAGCCGCAGTCGCTCCAACGTGTTGCGAGCTTGCCTACAGAGGGTAGGATTCTATACGAAATTTAGAGCCGGTTACCGCCGCGAAGCGGCGACGCGCGCGTAGCGCGCCCACCGGCGACCTTAAACCAAGAAATAGCTCCAATTCTGATTTTTTTTCGAATCTGTAAAACTGGCTGAATTGTGTCAGGCTGAATTGTCTGTATATTTTTGGCCGAATTGTCTGAATTTCAAATTGGCTGGATTATCTTTGGCCGAATTGTCTGTGCGCCTGATGGCCATTTATAAACTACTACTGAATCATCGTCTTAGAAATCGTTCCAATTTGGTTGAAAGAAGCTTATTTGCCATAATTGATTTGTTACAAGGAGCGAAATCTATCCTTTTGTACTTTTTATGGCGTGTGGGGTGATGTTTTTCATTGAAAAAAAATTCAAATTTGATTAAAAAATTTTTTTATTTAAAATAACACAAATGAAAAGAATTTTAAAAAACTGAGAATAAATTCAAAAATTTTGTTATATACATTATACTTTTTGAAAATTTTCCGCCCACACGCTATAAAAAGTACAAGGAGATATATTTTGCATATATTTTGCTTATGTTTTTTTTCTTCAGACAAAATTCGACTTTTTAACTAGCCAATTTTGACAAAACTTTTTTTTATATCATTCGAAAGTTATTGTTGTCTTGAGCTTAAATTTGAAAAATTATTTCACATGTGACTTTTTTTTGTAAAGTTATGGGCGTTCAAAGATTCCCAATTTGGCCAATTTGGGACAATTAACGCGCGATATATTTAGCGCTTTTAACGCGTAAGCGGAGATTTAATCGTTTTAGAAATCGTTCCAAATTGGTTGAAAAGAAGTGTAGTAAGGTAATTCGCTCCAACAGGGGGGGGGGGGGGGGGACCTACGGGTGCTCCAGAGCCTTATCCCAAAACCACATAAGCGCTCCAGACAAAAATTCTCCGTGCTCCAGATCCTAATTCCAAAACCGCATGGGGGCTCCAAACAAATTTTTCAAACCACAGCGGCATTCCAAAGGGGAAAATAAAACTACATGTATTATTTCCTAAGTGCTATGAAAAGACTATATTATAATAAGTCACTGCTGTTGTGATATATAATAAAAAGGTATGTCTGGGGACTGCATTTTCATGCATTAACGTTCGATCAAGACTATAACGTTCATATTTGAGCGGAAATAAAGTTAACGTAAAAGTTATAGCCAATATATTTAAACCGTTGTTAGGTGTAAACCATTTCCTTTCCGTGTGCATCTTTTATTGTTGAACCAACGCTTAGCAATCTGAGTCACTCACGAAGTTTGAAGAGCGGCTGACAGTCCGGTGTCATGACATAATTGAACGATAAAAATAATGGTGAAATTATTGATTAATGAATTAAGCAAATTGATTTTAATTGGAGATTGGCATACTGAAGATATTGATAGTGAGCATTTAAGTTTCTCTGTCTTCTTAACTGGTACCCTATCAAAAAACAGTTGTATCAACGATCCTTATATAGTTTTCATATCAC